AAGCAGTGGTATCAACGCAGAGTACTTAAATCTGTGATGTGATAAATCTCAACAAAACCATCAGAACAGCGAAACACGCAAAAAGTACTATCAGAATAAATCAAATCAGAATCGGAATCATTCATAAACGAATACCTCCGCGCAGCACCCGAGGGGTAACGTTAATCGCCTTAGTACGGCGAGCAGATCGCGAGAAAAAAGAACGATCAGACCGAGAACGAACACGTTTACGCATAAATAGACCTCCTAAAGTTTAGAATTAAGGGACTCACGCACAAGAGAAGTACGCCGGCTAAACTCAATACCACGTTGACGCGAAAGTTCAACTAAATCAAGATCTGTTTGGGCCAACTCAAGTTCAATCTTAGATTGGGCGAATCTTCTCCTCTGTGAAATTATATTATCATACAATTCTGGATTTGTCAAGTGTAAATGTTCAAGCATTGCCCTAGGCATACTGACACTAACAACTTTTGAGCCGTCAAAAATCGAATAACGATCAAATTCTATACCATGATCCCGTTCATAATACATACCAAGACCGGGCCTCATGGATTGATGACAGAAAGGTGGAACACGACCGAGATAGAAATCATCGCCGCCGTCACTCGCGAAGATCTTCTTAACAACATAACGGGAGACATAGCTAAAAGTACGATATGACGCAGGACTTAAAGTAATAAGTCCACGATCCCAGATCTTAGTCAGTAAATCAGAAGTATACTGCAACTCACCAGATTCACCTTTAGCCCAAGAGACTTGATCAGGGAAATCAAACATAGATAATCCGTAGAAAATAAAATGATAATGAGGCCGGAAAGTAACTTCTCCATACTCGCCCGAGTAGAAAAGCCTAATCTTACGATCACCAAACTTACGGCGAAGGGTCTTAACAAAAAGCTGAACGTCACGGAGGTTAAGAGTAGCACGATCAACACCATCAGTACACTTGACCTTCGGAAGGTGACCATCATCATAAGTAGACGTAACAAACAACGCGTCAGGAGTATGATCAAGTTCCAACAACATACGATCAGCCCACTTACGAGAGCGATCGAAACGACAACCCATGCACTTACCACAGGGCACGGGCAAGACATTACCTCGACTCTCACGAGCCGAAGAAAGATCATAGAACGACATTCGACCGTTAAAATGCCATTCTAGATCCGAGCCAAATATCACACTATTTGGACTAAAACAAGCCAATTTAAATTCCCCCGCTTTCAAGTAAATTCAAAACTAATTAAAGTAAAAAAATGAAAGCTGGTGTCAGTTAGCGCATATATGACAAGGAGCGGTTGCGCTAACCGAACATTTTCGCAAATTTTACTCAATCAAAGATTTAAGGATATTTCCAACATTTCGACCTAAATTCGATCCCATCCGGGAGAACGAATAAACCGCAGAAGGACGACCTTTAGAAGCGACCAAACCAATAACGGTGCCAATAAGCTGGGCACCATTCTGAATCGCCGTGCCAAGACCCTTGGCACTAGAACGGCCTGAACTCATGGTAATGCTGCCATCGCCAGCAACCTGAGGATAGTATACACCACCTGAGCCTTGTACACCTTGCGCCAGAAGCGCTGGGTTGAGGCCTGCGGCCTGTAAATCCTTAACGGCTCTCTGATAGCTGGTGTTGGCTAAAGCCTCTTGGTAGGCCGTAGAGGCGTCCATACCGTAAGCTCGAGCTAAATCCGCGTACAGATAGTCCGGAACAACTGCAGCAGAGGCAGTGCCGGAAGCGGGAATTATCGATAAACCTAAACCGGAGCCAGTGCCGGCCGAGGAACTCTCGCCGGTAGCGCTCCGGATAAAATTGGCTGCATTCTCAGCAGCACTAGCAGCGCTGCTTGCGACAGGTCGAACAAGATTGGAGACTACTGCATCCGCGACAGCGGTCGACGGCTGGCCCGAAGGTGTTGCAGACTGCGATATCGCAGTCTGCACAAAATCTCCGGACGGATTTCCGCGAAATACGTCCGATGTAAAAGCCGCAGCCGCGGCATTGGCAATCTGAGCAGCCTGAGTCGTTTTAACAGTCGTAGGAACGGCAACAACAACAGGCTGCTTCGATTGGCTGGCATTAGCAGAGTGATACGGCTGCACCGTACCAACATTAGTATCAGGATTAAGCATTAAAGCCACGTTTATCAACTCCTAAATTAAAAAAAGTAAAAAAAAAAGAACTTTAAAAGATAATATCGGGTTAGATAAACTAAAATTGAACCAAATGGAACAATTTTGGTAGACTTCAGGTCAAATAACCTGAGTCTAACCGCGCCCGGCGCAATCCGCCGGGCTTGGTAGGCTGATCAACTATTGATAATCTTACGCTTATCAATAGTTGATCAGCTCAAGAAACGCCTTCAAAGTATAATACTAGCCGACTGGACAAAGGTTATACAATGCAAGGCTTCGCAAGAAATCAAAACATGCCAAAAGTGCCAGGAATGCTATACATAGGCATAGGCCGAGTATGTTTAAGATCGAAGTAAAAATCGGCAAAGATCTGATCGCTGAGTGTAGAGGAAACAGCCAAGACACGATCAACATTAGTCTTGTCCTCACGGATCCAGGCATCAGACAGAACAGGCGCAGAAGAATAATTATCTGTAAGTGTCCAATGACCAAAAGAACCAGAAACGTTAGGACGCATCAAACCAGTAGCATGATTGGAGGGGCTTACACGATAATCAGCCCAGGCTTCCTGGAACCCAAAGACAGGACTATCCTCCATATTCTCAGAAGAAGCGTAGATCTCAACTTCCTTAACGGGCTGCTCACCAAGACGGGCGAAAATAGGATTATAAAAATCAAAAGAAGACTTACGCAGCCACATACGATTAATACCCTGCATATAGCTATGATCATAACGGGCGACACAAACACCAATCAAGTACCCGTGTTCAACGAATGACTTAATAAAATCACTGTGATTATCACCGGTAACAGACTTAGCACCAACGTCACCGAGGAAGTCAAGCTCAGATTGGGCGGTATTAGTAACCTCATGGACATTAAGCTGAATACGATTACCACCGAGATACTCAGGATTCTGGAGACGGGCATCAGGCGATCGCACACCAAAGAACTGAAGAATCTGCTCATCATATCTAGATCCAGAACGGGCTAAAGCCTCATAGTAGGCCTGAGTCGTTACAGCAAGACGAAGGTCGTTGACAGAGAAAGAGAGATTAGAAGAGCCATCAGAGGCAGCACGAAGGTTGCTTGGGACAAAATATTCAAGCTGATCAACCTGATTATTAATAGCAACATGTAAATCATTACCTTCAAGAGACATATAACGCTCTGGATACGAACCAGTGCTATAGGTACCAGTTGCTTGATCATACATAAGGACATCACCACGGAGAAGTGACGAAGAAGATCCGAGAGGAAAAGAACGATTTGAACTAGGTACAACAGGAAGTGAACCAGTAGACGGAATACTGACAGTCGGCCCACGTTGAGGGGAGGGAAGACAAGAAGTGAAGTAATCGTGAAACTTAGCAGAAATGAAAGGCTTACCGCCGTTGGCAACATCAGAAATATAGTTGGATCCGTTAGAACCAACTTGATTACTGTCACCATCAGGAATAAGGAGCGGATCAGAAAGATTCTGATCCCGGAAAAAATGATCCATAATCAACGCATAAGCGCGAAATGGAAGAGCAATAGGGGCTTCACCGTCGGTGGCATCCCATTCAACACCAACAGGCAGGCCGAAATGGTCGGCGATAGAGCCAACAGCGAAACCACCGGAAGGGGAAGAGATAGTAGGTATAGAATAAGTGACGGAAGGCGTCCAAGCCGAACTGGTATTCTCACCCATGAACTCCTTCCAGTGCTTCCAGGTCAGGCGATTCGGAACGAAGAAATAGTAGGTATCAAGATAGATATTATCCATCACAGGGGTTAGCAAGGTCTGCAGACGGACAACCTTAGAAGTACTCAGATTAACAGAATCACCGGGTAAGATCTCCTGAAGAAGAATAGGAACAACCTCACCAACATTAAAGGTTGTCTTATGACTAAAACCACGACCGAAGACAGAACGCTGAACACGTGCAGTAGGTGTCTGCGAGAAATGAGCCTCAGTATTACGGTTCACTAAATTCACCTCCAAATAATTAAACAGAAGCAACAGCAGGCTGATCAACAGGCTGAACAGCAGAATCAGGAACAGGATCAGGGACACCGGTCATCTTAGCAGACCAATCAGAAGTACCGGCGGTAACAAACCACTGCTGGAAAGAGTTATCAAATTTCGACTTGACAGATTGATCAAGGTGGTCAAAAGCATGCTGCGCATCCATAAGGATGTTATACATGGACAGGCGGTCATAGGACATCGAACTAAAATCGCCATAATAAAGGGGTTGAGTACCGAGAACAGAGCTATCACCGGCCGTAAGACGAGCGATAATATAGCTCATATCAGTCTGATCACGATAAGCATTGATAAGAGTAGGGATATCCTCTTTCCCAGAAACCTCCAACACAACACGACCATCACGGATAAGGGGAGAGTAAATAAGGTGGACAGGGTCACCGTGATTAGTGATCCAAGTATCAGAATCAGCAATCAGACTCAGGGAAACACCACAACGCATAATCAAACCTCCTTCGATAGATCTAGCTGGATACCGCGGAGAATCAGCTCCGGAACGATAGAAGAAATCATACCAGAAGCAGAGTCAAAAGAACCAAGGCGATACAGATCGAAGTCATCAGGAGCGAAACGCTGCACGCTACCTTCACGGAAGGAGAATCGAAAACCACGCATAGCAGCTTCATCGGACATTTCAAGAAAACAACCTTGGAAACCATTAAGACGATCACGAACGGAATAAAGATTATACAACATAATTAAAACCCCTTATAGAAATAAGCCCAAAAATCAGACTCAGACGGAAAAGAAAGAAAAGGCGTAATTAAATCTGTGATGTGATAAATCTCAACAAAACCATCAGAACAGCGAAACACGCAAAAAGTACTATCAGAATAAATCAAATCAGAATCGGAATCATTCATAAACGAATACCTCCGCGCAGCACCCGAGGGGTAACGTTAATCGCCTTAGTACGGCGAGCAGATCGCGAGAAAAAAGAACGATCAGACCGAGAACGAACACGTTTACGCATAAATAGACCTCCTAAAGTTTAGAATTAAGGGACTCACGCACAAGAGAAGTACGCCGGCTAAACTCAATACCACGTTGACGCGAAAGTTCAACTAAATCAAGATCTGTTTGGGCCAACTCAAGTTCAATCTTAGATTGGGCGAATCTTCTCCTCTGTGAAATTATATTATCATACAATTCTGGATTTGTCAAGTGTAAATGTTCAAGCATTGCCCTAGGCATACTGACACTAACAACTTTTGAGCCGTCAAAAATCGAATAACGATCAAATTCTATACCATGATCCCGTTCATAATACATACCAAGACCGGGCCTCATGGATTGATGACAGAAAGGTGGAACACGACCGAGATAGAAATCATCGCCGCCGTCACTCGCGAAGATCTTCTTAACAACATAACGGGAGACATAGCTAAAAGTACGATATGACGCAGGACTTAAAGTAATAAGTCCACGATCCCAGATCTTAGTCAGTAAATCAGAAGTATACTGCAACTCACCAGATTCACCTTTAGCCCAAGAGACTTGATCAGGGAAATCAAACATAGATAATCCGTAGAAAATAAAATGATAATGAGGCCGGAAAGTAACTTCTCCATACTCGCCCGAGTAGAAAAGCCTAATCTTACGATCACCAAACTTACGGCGAAGGGTCTTAACAAAAAGCTGAACGTCACGGAGGTTAAGAGTAGCACGATCAACACCATCAGTACACTTGACCTTCGGAAGGTGACCATCATCATAAGTAGACGTAACAAACAACGCGTCAGGAGTATGATCAAGTTCCAACAACATACGATCAGCCCACTTACGAGAGCGATCGAAACGACAACCCATGCACTTACCACAGGGCACGGGCAAGACATTACCTCGACTCTCACGAGCCGAAGAAAGATCATAGAACGACATTCGACCGTTAAAATGCCATTCTAGATCCGAGCCAAATATCACACTATTTGGACTAAAACAAGCCAATTTAAATTCCCCCGCTTTCAAGTAAATTCAAAACTAATTAAAGTAAAAAATGAAAGCTGGTGTCAGTTAGCGCATATATGACAAGGAGCGGTTGCGCTAACCGAACATTTTCGCAAATTTTACTCAATCAAAGATTTAAGGATATTTCCAACATTTCGACCTAAATTCGATCCCATCCGGGAGAACGAATAAACCGCAGAAGGACGACCTTTAGAAGCGACCAAACCAATAACGGTGCCAATAAGCTGGGCACCATTCTGAATCGCCGTGCCAAGACCCTTGGCACTAGAACGGCCTGAACTCATGGTAATGCTGCCATCGCCAGCAACCTGAGGATAGTATACACCACCTGAGCCTTGTACACCTTGCGCCAGAAGCGCTGGGTTGAGGCCTGCGGCCTGTAAATCCTTAACGGCTCTCTGATAGCTGGTGTTGGCTAAAGCCTCTTGGTAGGCCGTAGAGGCGTCCATACCGTAAGCTCGAGCTAAATCCGCGTACAGATAGTCCGGAACAACTGCAGCAGAGGCAGTGCCGGAAGCGGGAATTATCGATAAACCTAAACCGGAGCCAGTGCCGGCCGAGGAACTCTCGCCGGTAGCGCTCCGGATAAAATTGGCTGCATTCTCAGCAGCACTAGCAGCGCTGCTTGCGACAGGTCGAACAAGATTGGAGACTACTGCATCCGCGACAGCGGTCGACGGCTGGCCCGAAGGTGTTGCAGACTGCGATATCGCAGTCTGCACAAAATCTCCGGACGGATTTCCGCGAAATACGTCCGATGTAAAAGCCGCAGCCGCGGCATTGGCAATCTGAGCAGCCTGAGCCGTTTTAACAGTCGTAGGAACGGCAACAACAACAGGCTGCTTCGATTGGCTGGCATTAGCAGAGTGATACGGCTGCACCGTACCAACATTAGTATCAGGATTAAGCATTAAAGCCACGTTTATCAACTCCTAAATTAAAAAAAGTAAAAAAAAAAGAACTTTAAAAGATAATATCGGGTTAGATAAACTAAAATTGAACCAAATGGAACAATTTTGGTAGACTTCAGGTCAAATAACCTGAGTCTAACCGCGCCCGGCGCAATCCGCCGGGCTTGGTAGGCTGATCAACTATTGATAATCTTACGCTTATCAATAGTTGATCAGCTCAAGAAACGCCTTCAAAGTATAATACTAGCCGACTGGACAAAGGTTATACAATGCAAGGCTTCGCAAGAAATCAAAACATGCCAAAAGTGCCAGGAATGCTATACATAGGCATAGGCCGAGTATGTTTAAGATCGAAGTAAAAATCGGCAAAGATCTGATCGCTGAGTGTAGAGGAAACAGCCAAGACACGATCAACATTAGTCTTGTCCTCACGGATCCAGGCATCAGACAGAACAGGCGCAGAAGAATAATTATCTGTAAGTGTCCAATGACCAAAAGAACCAGAAACGTTAGGACGCATCAAACCAGTAGCATGATTGGAGGGGCTTACACGATAATCAGCCCAGGCTTCCTGGAACCCAAAGACAGGACTATCCTCCATATTCTCAGAAGAAGCGTAGATCTCAACTTCCTTAACGGGCTGCTCACCAAGACGGGCGAAAATAGGATTATAAAAATCAAAAGAAGACTTACGCAGCCACATACGATTAATACCCTGCATATAGCTATGATCATAACGGGCGACACAAACACCAATCAAGTACCCGTGTTCAACGAATGACTTAATAAAATCACTGTGATTATCACCGGTAACAGACTTAGCACCAACGTCACCGAGGAAGTCAAGCTCAGATTGGGCGGTATTAGTAACCTCATGGACATTAAGCTGAATACGATTACCACCGAGATACTCAGGATTCTGGAGACGGGCATCAGGCGATCGCACACCAAAGAACTGAAGAATCTGCTCATCATATCTAGATCCAGAACGGGCTAAAGCCTCATAGTAGGCCTGAGTCGTTACAGCAAGACGAAGGTCGTTGACAGAGAAAGAGAGATTAGAAGAGCCATCAGAGGCAGCACGAAGGTTGCTTGGGACAAAATATTCAAGCTGATCAACCTGATTATTAATAGCAACATGTAAATCATTACCTTCAAGAGACATATAACGCTCTGGATACGAACCAGTGCTATAGGTACCAGTTGCTTGATCATACATAAGGACATCACCACGGAGAAGTGACGAAGAAGATCCGAGAGGAAAAGAACGATTTGAACTAGGTACAACAGGAAGTGAACCAGTAGACGGAATACTGACAGTCGGCCCACGTTGAGGGGAGGGAAGACAAGAAGTGAAGTAATCGTGAAACTTAGCAGAAATGAAAGGCTTACCGCCGTTGGCAACATCAGAAATATAGTTGGATCCGTTAGAACCAACTTGATTACTGTCACCATCAGGAATAAGGAGCGGATCAGAAAGATTCTGATCCCGGAAAAAATGATCCATAATCAACGCATAAGCGCGAAATGGAAGAGCAATAGGGGCTTCACCGTCGGTGGCATCCCATTCAACACCAACAGGCAGGCCGAAATGGTCGGCGATAGAGCCAACAGCGAAACCACCGGAAGGGGAAGAGATAGTAGGTATAGAATAAGTGACGGAAGGCGTCCAAGCCGAACTGGTATTCTCACCCATGAACTCCTTCCAGTGCTTCCAGGTCAGGCGATTCGGAACGAAGAAATAGTAGGTATCAAGATAGATATTATCCATCACAGGGGTTAGCAAGGTCTGCAGACGGACAACCTTAGAAGTACTCAGATTAACAGAATCACCGGGTAAGATCTCCTGAAGAAGAATAGGAACAACCTCACCAACATTAAAGGTTGTCTTATGACTAAAACCACGACCGAAGACAGAACGCTGAACACGTGCAGTAGGTGTCTGCGAGAAATGAGCCTCAGTATTACGGTTCACTAAATTCACCTCCAAATAATTAAACAGAAGCAACAGCAGGCTGATCAACAGGCTGAACAGCAGAATCAGGAACAGGATCAGGGACACCGGTCATCTTAGCAGACCAATCAGAAGTACCGGCGGTAACAAACCACTGCTGGAAAGAGTTATCAAATTTCGACTTGACAGATTGATCAAGGTGGTCAAAAGCATGCTGCGCATCCATAAGGATGTTATACATGGACAGGCGGTCATAGGACATCGAACTAAAATCGCCATAATAAAGGGGTTGAGTACCGAGAACAGAGCTATCACCGGCCGTAAGACGAGCGATAATATAGCTCATATCAGTCTGATCACGATAAGCATTGATAAGAGTAGGGATATCCTCTTTCCCAGAAACCTCCAACACAACACGACCATCACGGATAAGGGGAGAGTAAATAAGGTGGACAGGGTCACCGTGATTAGTGATCCAAGTATCAGAATCAGCAATCAGACTCAGGGAAACACCACAACGCATAATCAAACCTCCTTCGATAGATCTAGCTGGATACCGCGGAGAATCAGCTCCGGAACGATAGAAGAAATCATACCAGAAGCAGAGTCAAAAGAACCAAGGCGATACAGATCGAAGTCATCAGGAGCGAAACGCTGCACGCTACCTTCACGGAAGGAGAATCGAAAACCACGCATAGCAGCTTCATCGGACATTTCAAGAAAACAACCTTGGAAACCATTAAGACGATCACGAACGGAATAAAGATTATACAACATAATTAAAACCCCTTATAGAAATAAGCCCAAAAATCAGACTCAGACGGAAAAGAAAGAAAAGGCGTAATTAAATCTGTGATGTGATAAATCTCAACAAAACCATCAGAACAGCGAAACACGCAAAAAGTACTATCAGAATAAATCAAATCAGAATCGGAATCATTCATAAACGAATACCTCCGCGCAGCACCCGAGGGGTAACGTTAATCGCCTTAGTACGGCGAGCAGATCGCGAGAAAAAAGAACGATCAGACCGAGAACGAACACGTTTACGCATAAATAGACCTCCTAAAGTTTAGAATTAAGGGACTCACGCACAAGAGAAGTACGCCGGCTAAACTCAATACCACGTTGACGCGAAAGTTCAACTAAATCAAGATCTGTTTGGGCCAACTCAAGTTCAATCTTAGATTGGGCGAATCTTCTCCTCTGTGAAATTATATTATCATACAATTCTGGATTTGTCAAGTGTAAATGTTCAAGCATTGCCCTAGGCATACTGACACTAACAACTTTTGAGCCGTCAAAAATCGAATAACGATCAAATTCTATACCATGATCCCGTTCATAATACATACCAAGACCGGGCCTCATGGATTGATGACAGAAAGGTGGAACACGACCGAGATAGAAATCATCGCCGCCGTCACTCGCGAAGATCTTCTTAACAACAGTACTCTGCGTTGATACCACTGCTTAGTACGATATGACGCAGGACTTAAAGTAATAAGTCCACGATCCCAGATCTTAGTCAGTAAATCAGAAGTATACTGCAACTCACCAGATTCACCTTTAGCCCAAGAGACTTGATCAGGGAAATCAAACATAGATAATCCGTAGAAAATAAAATGATAATGAGGCCGGAAAGTAACTTCTCCATACTCGCCCGAGTAGAAAAGCCTAATCTTACGATCACCAAACTTACGGCGAAGGGTCTTAACAAAAAGCTGAACGTCACGGAGGTTAAGAGTAGCACGATCAACACCATCAGTACACTTGACCTTCGGAAGGTGACCATCATCATAAGTAGACGTAACAAACAACGCGTCAGGAGTATGATCAAGTTCCAACAACATACGATCAGCCCACTTACGAGAGCGATCGAAACGACAACCCATGCACTTACCACAGGGCACGGGCAAGACATTACCTCGACTCTCACGAGCCGAAGAAAGATCATAGAACGACATTCGACCGTTAAAATGCCATTCTAGATCCGAGCCAAATATCACACTATTTGGACTAAAACAAGCCAATTTAAATTCCCCCGCTTTCAAGTAAATTCAAAACTAATTAAAGTAAAAAATGAAAGCTGGTGTCAGTTAGCGCATATATGACAAGGAGCGGTTGCGCTAACCGAACATTTTCGCAAATTTTACTCAATCAAAGATTTAAGGATATTTCCAACATTTCGACCTAAATTCGATCCCATCCGGGAGAACGAATAAACCGCAGAAGGACGACCTTTAGAAGCGACCAAACCAATAACGGTGCCAATAAGCTGGGCACCATTCTGAATCGCCGTGCCAAGACCCTTGGCACTAGAACGGCCTGAACTCATGGTAATGCTGCCATCGCCAGCAACCTGAGGATAGTATACACCACCTGAGCCTTGTACACCTTGCGCCAGAAGCGCTGGGTTGAGGCCTGCGGCCTGTAAATCCTTAACGGCTCTCTGATAGCTGGTGTTGGCTAAAGCCTCTTGGTAGGCCGTAGAGGCGTCCATACCGTAAGCTCGAGCTAAATCCGCGTACAGATAGTCCGGAACAACTGCAGCAGAGGCAGTGCCGGAAGCGGGAATTATCGATAAACCTAAACCGGAGCCAGTGCCGGCCGAGGAACTCTCGCCGGTAGCGCTCCGGATAAAATTGGCTGCATTCTCAGCAGCACTAGCAGCGCTGCTTGCGACAGGTCGAACAAGATTGGAGACTACTGCATCCGCGACAGCGGTCGACGGCTGGCCCGAAGGTGTTGCAGACTGCGATATCGCAGTCTGCACAAAATCTCCGGACGGATTTCCGCGAAATACGTCCGATGTAAAAGCCGCAGCCGCGGCATTGGCAATCTGAGCAGCCTGAGCCGTTTTAACAGTCGTAGGAACGGCAACAACAACAGGCTGCTTCGATTGGCTGGCATTAGCAGAGTGATACGGCTGCACCGTACCAACATTAGTATCAGGATTAAGCATTAAAGCCACGTTTATCAACTCCTAAATTAAAAAAAGTAAAAAAAAAAGAACTTTAAAAGATAATATCGGGTTAGATAAACTAAAATTGAACCAAATGGAACAATTTTGGTAGACTTCAGGTCAAATAACCTGAGTCTAACCGCGCCCGGCGCAATCCGCCGGGCTTGGTAGGCTGATCAACTATTGATAATCTTACGCTTATCAATAGTTGATCAGCTCAAGAAACGCCTTCAAAGTATAATACTAGCCGACTGGACAAAGGTTATACAATGCAAGGCTTCGCAAGAAATCAAAACATGCCAAAAGTGCCAGGAATGCTATACATAGGCATAGGCCGAGTATGTTTAAGATCGAAGTAAAAATCGGCAAAGATCTGATCGCTGAGTGTAGAGGAAACAGCCAAGACACGATCAACATTAGTCTTGTCCTCACGGATCCAGGCATCAGACAGAACAGGCGCAGAAGAATAATTATCTGTAAGTGTCCAATGACCAAAAGAACCAGAAACGTTAGGACGCATCAAACCAGTAGCATGATTGGAGGGGCTTACACGATAATCAGCCCAGGCTTCCTGGAACCCAAAGACAGGACTATCCTCCATATTCTCAGAAGAAGCGTAGATCTCAACTTCCTTAACGGGCTGCTCACCAAGACGGGCGAAAATAGGATTATAAAAATCAAAAGAAGACTTACGCAGCCACATACGATTAATACCCTGCATATAGCTATGATCATAACGGGCGACACAAACACCAATCAAGTACCCGTGTTCAACGAATGACTTAATAAAATCACTGTGATTATCACCGGTAACAGACTTAGCACCAACGTCACCGAGGAAGTCAAGCTCAGATTGGGCGGTATTAGTAACCTCATGGACATTAAGCTGAATACGATTACCACCGAGATACTCAGGATTCTGGAGACGGGCATCAGGCGATCGCACACCAAAGAACTGAAGAATCTGCTCATCATATCTAGATCCAGAACGGGCTAAAGCCTCATAGTAGGCCTGAGTCGTTACAGCAAGACGAAGGTCGTTGACAGAGAAAGAGAGATTAGAAGAGCCATCAGAGGCAGCACGAAGGTTGCTTGGGACAAAATATTCAAGCTGATCAACCTGATTATTAATAGCAACATGTAAATCATTACCTTCAAGAGACATATAACGCTCTGGATACGAACCAGTGCTATAGGTACCAGTTGCTTGATCATACATAAGGACATCACCACGGAGAAGTGACGAAGAAGATCCGAGAGGAAAAGAACGATTTGAACTAGGTACAACAGGAAGTGAACCAGTAGACGGAATACTGACAGTCGGCCCACGTTGAGGGGAGGGAAGACAAGAAGTGAAGTAATCGTGAAACTTAGCAGAAATGAAAGGCTTACCGCCGTTGGCAACATCAGAAATATAGTTGGATCCGTTAGAACCAACTTGATTACTGTCACCATCAGGAATAAGGAGCGGATCAGAAAGATTCTGATCCCGGAAAAAATGATCCATAATCAACGCATAAGCGCGAAATGGAAGAGCAATAGGGGCTTCACCGTCGGTGGCATCCCATTCAACACCAACAGGCAGGCCGAAATGGTCGGCGATAGAGCCAACAGCGAAACCACCGGAAGGGGAAGAGATAGTAGGTATAGAATAAGTGACGGAAGGCGTCCAAGCCGAACTGGTATTCTCACCCATGAACTCCTTCCAGTGCTTCCAGGTCAGGCGATTCGGAACGAAGAAATAGTAGGTATCAAGATAGATATTATCCATCACAGGGGTTAGCAAGGTCTGCAGACGGACAACCTTAGAAGTACTCAGATTAACAGAATCACCGGGTAAGATCTCCTGAAGAAGAATAGGAACAACCTCACCAACATTAAAGGTTGTCTTATGACTAAAACCACGACCGAAGACAGAACGCTGAACACGTGCAGTAGGTGTCTGCGAGAAATGAGCCTCAGTATTACGGTTCACTAAATTCACCTCCAAATAATTAAACAGAAGCAACAGCAGGCTGATCAACAGGCTGAACAGCAGAATCAGGAACAGGATCAGGGACACCGGTCATCTTAGCAGACCAATCAGAAGTACCGGCGGTAACAAACCACTGCTGGAAAGAGTTATCAAATTTCGACTTGACAGATTGATCAAGGTGGTCAAAAGCATGCTGCGCATCCATAAGGATGTTATACATGGACAGGCGGTCATAGGACATCGAACTAAAATCGCCATAATAAAGGGGTTGAGTACCGAGAACAGAGCTATCACCGGCCGTAAGACGAGCGATAATATAGCTCATATCAGTCTGATCACGATAAGCATTGATAAGAGTAGGGATATCCTCTTTCCCAGAAACCTCCAACACAACACGACCATCACGGATAAGGGGAGAGTAAATAAGGTGGACAGGGTCACCGTGATTAGTGATCCAAGTATCAGAATCAGCAATCAGACTCAGGGAAACACCACAACGCATAATCAAACCTCCTTCGATAGATCTAGCTGGATACCGCGGAGAATCAGCTCCGGAACGATAGAAGAAATCATACCAGAAGCAGAGTCAAAAGAACCAAGGCGATACAGATCGAAGTCATCAGGAGCGAAACGCTGCACGCTACCTTCACGGAAGGAGAATCGAAAACCACGCATAGCAGCTTCATCGGACATTTCAAGAAAACAACCTTGGAAACCATTAAGACGATCACGAACGGAATAAAGATTATACAACATAATTAAAACCCCTTATAGAAATAAGCCCAAAAATCAGACTCAGACGGAAAAGAAAGAAAAGGCGTAATTAAATCTGTGATGTGATAAATCTCAACAAAACCATCAGAACAGCGAAACACGCAAAAAGTACTATCAGAATAAATCAAATCAGAATCGAATCATTCATAAACGAATACCTCCGCGCAGCACCCGAGGGGTAACGTTAATCGCCTTAGTACGGCGAGCAGATCGCGAGAAAAAAAGAACGATCAGACCGAGAACGAACACGTTTACGCATAAATAGACCTCCTAAAGTTTAGAATTAAGGGACTCACGCACAAGAGAAGTACGCCGGCTAAACTCAATACCACGTTGACGCGAAAGTTCAACTAAATCAAGATCTGTTTGGGCCAACTCAAGTTCAATCTTAGATTGGGCGAATCTTCTCCTCTGTGAAATTATATTATCATACAATTCTGGATTTGTCAAGTGTAAATGTTCAAGCATTGCCCTAGGCATACTGACACTAACAACTTTTGAGCCGTCAAAAATCGAATAACGATCAAATTCTATACCATGATCCCGTTCATAATACATACCAAGACCCGGGCCTCATGGATTGATGACAGAAAGGTGGAACACGACCGAGATAGAAATCATCGCCGCCGTCACTCGCGAAGATCTTCTTAACAACATAACGGGAGACATAGCTAAAAGTACGATATGACGCAGGACTTAAAGTAATAAGTCCACGATCCCAGATCTTAGTCAGTAAATCAGAAGTATACTGCAACTCACCAGATTCACCTTTAGCCCAAGAGACTTGATCAGGGAAATCAAACATAGATAATCCGTAGAAAATAAAATGATAATGAGGGCCGGAAAGTAACTTCTCCATACTCGCCCGAGTAGAAAAGCCTAATCTTACGATCACCAAACTTACGGCGAAGGGTCTTAACAAAAAGCTGAACGTCACGGAGGTTAAGAGTAGCACGATCAACACCATCAGTACACTTGACCTTCGGAAGGTGACCATCATCATAGTAGACGTAACAAACAACGCGTCAGGAGTATGATCAAGTTCCAACAACATACGATCAGCCACTTACGAGAGCGATCGAAACGACAACCCATGCACTTACCACAGGGCACGGGCAAGACATTACCTCGACTCTCACGAGCCGAAGAAAGATCATAGAACGACATTCGACCGTTAAAATGCCATTCTAGATCCGAGCCAAATATCACACTATTTGGACTAAAACAAGCCAATTTAAATTCCCCCGCTTTCAAGTAAATTCAAAACTAATTAAAGTAAAAAATGAAAGCTGGTGTCAGTTAGCGCATATATGACAAGGAGCGGTTGCGCTAACCGAACATTTTCGCAAATTTTACTCAATCAAAGATTTAAGGATATTTCCAACATTTCGACCTAAATTCGATCCCATCCGGGAGAACGAATAAACCGCAGAAGGACGACATTAGAAGCGACCAAACCAATAACGGTGCCAATAAGCTGGGCACCATTCTGAATCGCCGTGCCAAGACCCTTGGCACTAGAACGGCCTGAACTCATGGTAATGCTGCCATCGCCAGCAACCTGAGGATAGTATACACCACCTGAGCCTTGTACACCTTGCGCCAGAAGCGCTGGGTTGAGGCCTGCGGCCTGTAAATCCTTAACGGCTCTCTGATAGCTGGTGTTGGCTAAAGCCTCTTGGTAGGCCGTAGAGGCGTCCATACCGTAAGCTCGAGCTAAATCCGCGTACAGATAGTCCGGAACAACTGCAGCAGAGGCAGTGCCGGAAGCGGGAATTATCGATAAACCTAAACCGGAGCCAGTGCCGGCCGAGGAACTCTCGCCGGTAGCGCTCCGGATAAAATTGGCTGCATTCTCAGCAGCACTAGCAGCGCTGCTTGCGACAGGTCGAACAAGATTGGAGACTACTGCATCCGCGACAGCGGTCGACGGCTGGCCCGAAGGTGTTGCAGACTGCGATATCGCAGTCTGCACAAAATCTCCGGACGGATTTCCGCGAAATACGTCCGAAGTAAAAGCCGCAGCCGCGGCATTGGCAATCTGAGCAGCCTGAGCCGTTTTAACAGTCGTAGGAACGGCAACAACAACAGGCTGCTTCGATTGGCTGGCATTAGCAGAGTGATACGGCTGCACCGTACCAACATTAGTATCAGGATTAAGCATTAAAGCCACGTTTATCAACTCCTAAATTAAAAAAAGTAAAAAAAAAAGAACTTTAAAAGATAATATCGGGTTAGATAAACTAAAATTGAACCAAATGGAACAATTTTGGTAGACTTCAGGTCAAATAACCTGAGTCTAACCGCGCCCGGCGCAATCCGCCGGGCTTGGTAGGCTGATCAACTATTGATAATCTTACGCTTATCAATAGTTGATCAGCTCAAGAAACGCCTTCAAAGTATAATACTAGCCGACTGGACAAAGGTTATACAATGCAAGGCTTCGCAAGAAATCAAAACATGCCAAAAGTGCCAGGAATGCTATACATAGGCATAGGCCGAGTATGTTTAAGATCGAAGTAAAAATCGGCAAAGATCTGATCGCTGAGTGTAGAGGAAACAGCCAAGACACGATCAACATTAGTCTTGTCCTCACGGATCCAGGCATCAGACAGAACAGGCGCAGAAGAATAATTATCTGTAAGTGTCCAATGACCAAAAGAACCAGAAACGTTAGGACGCATCAAACCAGTAGCATGATTGGAGGGGCTTACACGATAATCAGCCCAGGCTTCCTGGAACCCAAAGACAGGACTATCCTCCATATTCTCAGAAGAAGCGTAGATCTCAACTTCCTTAACGGGCTGCTCACCAAGACGGGCGAAAATAGGATTATAAAAATCAAAAGAAGACTTACGCAGCCACATACGATTAATACCCTGCATATAGCTATGATCATAACGGGCGACACAAACACCAATCAAGTACCCGTGTTCAACGAATGACTTAATAAAATCACTGTGATTATCACCGGTAACAGACTTAGCACCAACGTCACCGAGGAAGTCAAGCTCAGATTGGGCGGTATTAGTAACCTCATGGACATTAAGCTGAATACGATTACCACCGAGATACTCAGGATTCTGGAGACGGGCATCAGGCGATCGCACACCAAAGAACTGAAGAATCTGCTCATCATATCTAGATCCAGAACGGGCTAAAGCCTCATAGTAGGCCTGAGTCGTTACAGCAAGACGAAGGTCGTTGACAGAGAAAGAGAGATTAGAAGAGCCATCAGAGGCAGCACGAAGGTTGCTTGGGACAAAATATTCAAGCTGATCAACCTGATTATTAATAGCAACATGTAAATCATTACCTTCAAGAGACATATAACGCTCTGGATACGAACCAGTGCTATAGGTACCAGTTGCTTGATCATACATAAGGACATCACCACGGAGAAGTGACGAAGAAGATCCGAGAGGAAAAGAACGATTTGAACTAGGTACAACAGGAAGTGAACCAGTAGACGGAATACTGACAGTCGGCCCACGTTGAGGGGAGGGAAGACAAGAAGTGAAGTAATCGTGAAACTTAGCAGAAATGAAAGGCTTACCGCCGTTGGCAACATCAGAAATATAGTTGGATCCGTTAGAACCAACTTGATTACTGTCACCATCAGGGAATAAGGAGCGGATCAGAAAGATTCTGATCCCGGAAAAAATGATCCATAATCAACGCATAAGCGCGAAATGGAAGAGCAATAGGGGCTTCACCGTCGGTGGCATCCCATTCAACACCAACAGGCAGGCCGAAATGGTCGGCGATAGAGCCAACAGCGAAACCACCGGAAGGGGAAGAGATAGTAGGTATAGAATAAGTGACGGAAGGCGTCCAAGCCGAACTGGTATTCTCACCCATGAACTCCTTCCAGTGCTTCCAGGTCAGGCGATTCGGAACGAAGAAATAGTAGGTATCAAGATAGATATTATCCATCACAGGGGTTAGCAAGGTCTGCAGACGGACAACCTTAGAAGTACTCAGATTAACAGAATCACCGGGTAAGATCTCCTGAAGAAGAATAGGAACAACCTCACCAACATTAAAGGTTGTCTTATGACTAAAACCACGACCGAAGACAGAACGCTGAACACGTGCAGTAGGTGTCTGCGAGAAATGAGCCTCAGTATTACGGTTCACTAAATTCACCTCCAAATAATTAAACAGAAGCAACAGC